TCCCTCCTACTTTCAAAATGCTACACGAGATGGAGCCAGAGTCTCTGCTGGTGTAAATGGGTGCAGCTCTGACTTCCATGGAGTTGCATCCATTTACGTCAGCAGAGAATTTTGCCTCCTGGACTAGCCTGAGATTTTTTGTTTCTCTTTAAACCTGCTGACGTGGATTCAGTGAGTCTGAAAGCTGCTGGCTTCACAGAGCAGGAGCAAGGAGAGGGCAGGTTCCTCCACCTACTCCCACCAGTAATAAGGTGGGGGCTGTACAAGACGCATAGCTAAAGCGAGCCACTGCCCAGAGGAGCTTTATAGTCTAACAGCTGGACAGAAAAGATGACACCTGGAGCCTAAGTTAGATGTCTAAGTCAGTTGATCTGTCTGCTTTTCCTACGTAACAATGGTGCAGAAAAGATGACAACATGGCTTTGTATTTTTTCATATTTTTATATGTATATATTTCAAGTACAACAAATACACCCAAAATACCAGAATTATCATAATGCACAAAGTAAAGAGAGGCAGGATTTAGAGAAGGGATGGAAGTGACATATCTAGCTTCAGGTTCTGCATTAATCATACTCAGTCCCAATTGTTTTGTATTTTTTTGGCCATTCCCCTGCTTTGGAATGTCTGTTGTTCATTAGCTACAACACCAGCCTGATCACTGAGCCAGGCAGCAGTGTTTGCTTTGATTGAGTTTTCCATTTTTGCAGGATTAATTTTTTAGTGACCAAATATGTTACATTGGAGCCAGGCCAGCTTGTTAACCGGTAAGCTCCAGGTATCAGGAATATATCTGTGACGGGTTTGGTTACAGAAACCCCCTTGGGACCGTCACCTGGTGTCCTGAGACTACCTCTGAGCCCGTTTTCCCTGCCAGCTTGGGACTTCAGAACCCTGCCTTGTTGAGCCAGACAAGCTAGCCTGCTGCAAACACAAACCCAGGGTCTGAACCATGCCCCCAAAGCTGAAGGCTTTAACTGAAAACCGCTTAAGAAGTGCTCCTGTCTCCAGCACCCAGATACCCAGTTCTCAATGGGGTCCAAACCCCAAATAAATCTGTTTTACTCTGAAAAAACTTATACAGGGTAAACTCATAAATTGTCTGCCCTCTAGAACACTGATAGAAAGATATGCACAGCCTTTTGCTCCCCCAGGTATTAGTCACTAACTCTGGGTTCAATAGTAAGCAAAAAGTGATTTTATTAAGTATAAAAAGTAGGATTTATGTGGTTCCAAGTAATAACAGACAAAACAAAGTAAGTTCCCAAGCAAAATAAAACAAAACACACAAGTCTAAGCCTAATACAGTAAGAAACTGAATGCAAGTAAATCTTACCCTCAGAGATGTTCCAAAAAGCTTCTTTCAGAGACTAGACTCCTTCCTAGTCTGGATCCAGCAATTACTCACACCCCCATAGTTACTGTCCTTTATTCCAGTTTCTTTCAGATATCTCTTGGGGGTGGAGAGGCCATCTCTTAAGCCAGCTGAAGACAAAATGGAGGGGTTTCCAGGACCTTTTATATTCTTTTTCTTGTGGGCGGAAACCCCTTTGTTCTTCTGTGCAAAGTCACAGCAACAAGATGGAGTTTGTAGCCACCTGGGCAAGTCACATGTCTATGAATGATTCAGCTTTTTGGAGGCCAGTGCCATTGTTTACATGTTAGTTTGAACAGTCCTAGGAGAGCTCAGATGTGGATTGGCGTCTCTGAAAGTTAATTGTCTGTTAAGTGTTTCTTGATTGGGCACTTACTGAGAATAGTCCTTTCTCAAGAAGCTGACCAAATGCTTCACTGAGGCTACTTAGAATCAAACACACTGAGAAACAAGTACATAGCCAATATTCATAACTTCCAATATGAAAATGATACACACATATAGACAGCATAATCATAACCAGCAAACTACAACCTTTCCACAGACACCCCATTTGACCTCCTCTGTACAAGACCTGGTGCAACCATAGGACCCTGGTTGCAACAATGATCTATACGGTCACAGTTCATGTCAATAACATCACAATATCCAAGAACAAAACTTAAGGGGAAGGGCTCCAACTTTCGCCAACATCAAATTGGTGCTTTGACCCACTTCATGTCAGAAAATCTTGATACAAGGGCAGTCCTGGGTTATTACTTTTTGCAGATTGCACCTTGACACAGGGGAAAGGCATGTGCGTTCCAAGGACCTAATAGCTATGCCAGCAGGAGTTTTAACCCCTGGCAGGGCCAACCAAACTGGACAAGTCCCAGGGTAGGGAACAGAATAAAAGCAGCCCACTGGTCCTCCAAGTTGGGGTGTGGGGGGGTGTGAGTGATAGACCAAGTACCTGGCTTCATAGAGCATTTGTTATAGAAACACAACAAGGTGGCCATCCCTGCAAACTGCATGGTAGACAGGGAGAGCAGAGCCTTCTTTTTACTGTCAGCGATGTCTGATGGCATGGTGGGGATTAAGATGATAGTGGCTTGAGGCCCCAATGGGGATTGGGACCCCATTGTGCAAGCACATCACAAGAGATGGGCCCTGCTCTGCTATCTGACACAATTAAAGCAGACAAGATGGACAAAGGGGAAACTGAGGCACAAAGTGAGGCAGTGACTTGCCCAAGGACATGCAGCAGGTCAGTTGCAGAATTGGTCACAGAACCCAAGTCCGTGTTCTAACTACTAGGCCATGCTGCCTCCCCAGTTAGTTGCGGTGGGCATCACAGCAACACGGAATCTTCAGTGGGAATGTGAATAAGTGGAAGCTGGGGGCAATTTCTTCAGCCCATCTCATCCCGTGCTGGATTCAAGTGATTTTCTTGGGTATTGTATCCCACTGTTAAACCCTGGAGCATCCAGTCCCACAGAACTTGGATTTATAGAGTGTTTTTATATTCAGACTGTAACACAAAGCACTTAGCAGAACGTTGGGCTAAATTGTCCTCTTACGTAGGGGCTGCTCCTGCAGCATGAAAGTCCATCTGAACCCTGCTGGTGACTTCAATGTGCGTAGGATCAGGTTCATGCGGCAGTGCAAACCCAATGACTGCAGTGGCGTTTCAATGCTCTGTCTGGAAAAGGAATTCCTCTCAGTACTCACACACCACATTGGGACTCCTCTTCTGGACAGAGCATGCCTTTAGCACTACCCAGACACACTGTGGGCCATGGCTCCTACCTCAGAAGGGGCCTGGTCCCATTCCCTCACTCTTCTGAGTAGCCCTATTGAAGCCTTCCCTTTCCTCAGTCTCTCCCACCTCCAGAGGAGTCCAACAATCTATCCTTGGAGGAGACCAAGAACCGCAGCCCAGTTTGTGTCCAGAGCTTCCCTTCCCCCAGGGCATCCCGGCCAATCTGTCCTGCTCACCCAGGGGTCAGCCGGTCTGACTGAGCCTTCCCATCCCCTGGTCTCACCAGCTGGATGCCACCCTCAGGCCGGTGACCCTGGTCCACTAAAACACACAGAAGACTGTGAGGTGCTCAGATACTATGGCAGTGGGGGTATGTAAAGGTACAAAGCATACCCTTCCTTTAGGATGTGAGGCCTGCCTGGCTGATTAGCCCCATCCGCTGCACCTGAGAGGAGAGTGGGACCCTAATTAGATGATCCTTACAAAAGAGGGCAGCAGAAGCTGGAGGGAGAAGACGTCAGCACCTTCTAGAAAACAGAGGGGCTGTGTTCCCAATGGATGGCTCCTGGTGCCACTGCAGAGAGGAATTGCTCCAGAAACCAGCTGGACAGAAGGGAGACTGTGGAAAGTCCTTGGTTTCTGAGGACACAGGAATTTGGGGTTGCTGAAGGTATGGGTGTGAGAGGCAGACCTGGTGGGGGGGACTAGTCATCAGCCCATATAGACTTGAGGGAAGAATCTGTGAGGTTGGGTTTATTAGGAAGGGTTTAAAAAAAACAACTAACCCAGCTGGAAACTGCTTGCCTGGATTCTTTGAAGAGAGCCCAGACAGAAATACCCCAGGGTGTGAGCTGGCTCATCAAGAGCAAAAGCTTGCCCAGGAGCAGGAGGGTGCTATAATATAGGCCCTGATCCTTTACAGGGCCATAGATGTACCTAAGGTAGTGAGATCTATGTATGTATGTTCCTCAGATAAGAATAGCTGTCCTGAGGCCCGCCACCTTCCCCTTCAGAGCCTGGTTTTCACAGGGAGGGAGCTCCGTGCTTTCTGAGACTCGATCAGTCCCTCTTACGACATCTCCAGTAGAGTGCCCTAAATCTCTAGTCTTTGAAGTCTTGGCCTTGGTGGTGTTAATATAAACTTGTGCAAGACTGTGGTAAACCAAACCCAGCGGAGTAACAAACCCGAGCCCCTGCCCCAGCCCACCAAGACCTGAAGGGAAGGAATAATGAAATGCTGCCACATGAATGCCTATGGTCCTCCAAGCCAAAGGAGCTGGTGGTTGTGGTATATCGTGTCGCCTGGGGGTCAGACCTTGCCAGGTAACGATATCAGCTTGGCGCTGGCTGATAATTGCTACGAGCTGAGGCGTGTTCAGAGCCTGGCGCTTTGCAGGTGAGGTGCTGGTCTGGTTTACAGCAGACATCAGAGCTACCACAGTGACTGCTCTTGCTGGCGCTCTTGGCACCAAGGAGTGAACGAGCCATGGGGACTGAAATAGTCTCTCCCCTCTAAGAGGGGAGGGCTGGGGGAAGTGTGTTGGGGTTGCGGGGCGGGGTGGGGGTGGGGATTTCATTCTCGCACCTCCCAGCCTGTCCCTGTTCCGCAAATGAACCGAGGCTCTCAGCCTTGCTGGTGTCAGTTCGGCATTTTCCTTTACCACTACCCTCCCGCTAACAAACGGATGGGAAATCTGCTCCCGGTCCTCGCTGTTCCCTTTCTCATGAGCCATTTTGCAGACACAGATGATGGATTATCAGGACTGTCCCTGGGCCGTCAGCAACGGGCCACTGGGCTGAGTGACAGAACCTTTCCAGATGTGTTACACGAGACCTTGGGAGACAGGGGAACCACACAGCACACGCTCAGGCCAGATCTGCTCTTATTTAATGAAGAGTGAACAACATTTCTAATACACAATCAGGTTGCTGCCGCCACTCTTCCTGTGCGGGTGGAGACCGCAGTGCTCTTTACCCTTTCTTGGGGTGGGTGCAGCAGTTCAGGTGTTTGCAGTCGTAGGTTTTAGACGCCACTTCGTGTTTGGCACATCCCTTGGCACAGCGACCGGGACAGCCGCCCTTATGATACCCATACTGCCCGTAACCTGCACCAGAGAGGGAGAGTCCAGGGTTAGACAGGAGCTATGCTCATGGTTGGTGCCCACAAGAATGCCCCCCCTGCAGTGACTGATGTGGGGCCGTGAGGCAGGGGGAGCTGGGCTTTGGGCTTCCCCAACAGCGTCACAGCAATTATTGAATGTTCACATTCATGCCCAATCCCAAGAGAGGAGACGGACTGGGAAGCTGAATGGCAATTTCTTGCCCTAGAGGAGAAGGGCTGCTCACCATGGTGGGGGCTGCCTTCCTCTTCTTGAGGTCTCTGCCTCCACACACTTAGCATCCCCCTGGAGAGCGCCAATCCCAGCCCCTCCAGGGTGAGATCTGCCCCTACAGGTACCAGGGCTCTAACGGCCTCCTGCCTGATGTCCTGAGAGACACCAGAGTCAGTTATGGGGGGAGGAGCATTGGGGGAGCCCTTGGAAAGTGGATTCCTGCCATTCCCCGAATTTCCAAGGGTGACTTACAGGGAGGCCATCAGTGGCCAGGGGCTGCTGTGTGTGAGTCCTAGGGCAAGTGAGTTCAGGCTGCAGCAGAATGGGGTGATGGTGGGAGGGGAGAGTGTGTGAGGAGTAATGGAAAGGGCTGATGGCGAGAGAGAGAGAGGGAGTGATGTGGATGGAAGACAGCCTGGTGGTTTGGGGGAAGGTGAGGGCACAGAGATGGGGGAGGGGAGATTTACGTCTGTGGAACCAGTGACTGGCAGAGCGTGGCACTACACAGCATAATGGGGGACGGGGCAGAACCCAGCTCTTGCCCATATGCACAAACAATTCTGGGAATCTTGTGTACAGGCTGGACACATAATTGCACTGGCTGATGCGCAAAGACAAAACTTCATTGAGTTGAATGGGAGAAGCACTTCCCATGGCTCTGAGAACTATCATTTCAGGCTCTCTGCAGACTCAGAAAGACAACGTTGCATTGAATAACACCCAGTTCATGTTTCAGAGATTGCCCTTAAAATCATAAGGTGAGTAATTCCTTCTCTAGCCCTCCCACAGCGACTCTATGGCTGTTGGGTCTGATCCGTGAGCACACTCTGAGCTGCACTATCCAAGCAGGCTGCTGGAACATTTTTGGCTTACACCCTAATTCAGGCTGAATTTTTGGGAGTGGGAGGCTGGAAGGGCAGCATGGATTCTTTTCTCAGAAGCAGAGACCTCCCTAAAACCAGAGTCCACAAGACACCCCCTGTTCAGTCCTTCTCTTTAGAATCTGAGGCCAGCGTTCTCACACTCGGATGCCTGCTGTCAGGCTCCTAAATCCATATCAAGGCACCTACATAAAAGTGGCCTGATTTTCAGAAGGAACCCAAAGAAGCTGGGGGTGATCAGGGCCTCTGGAAATCAGTTTGGTTTGATATCTGTGCCTAATGTGGATCCAGGTGTTTAACGTTAGGTTCCCAGCCAGGTATGAGAGTGCTGGCCTCGGGTGCCTGAGCTCTGATAGCTGGAGAGAGGATGGAATTCTCTGCTCATCCTTATGGGAAACCTCCTCACACAGAGTCCCGTAGTGACTCGCTAGAGAGGAACCCAGAGAGCCAGATGCTCAAGCCTGTCTATCAGCATCTGCACATCTAAAAATGCACAGACAATTGGGCACCTAATTTGTGCTCCCAGTTGTCGTGTCACAGATTGTCCACAAAACATGCCCCACCACTGAATACAGCCTGAGAGCCTTAGTCCTTAATGTTATCCTCAGATCCGTCATCTCACCTGGAGTGGCCAATGAGACTAGCAGGAGAACAGCAAACACAAGGTAGAGGATCCTCATGGCTGGAGGTCGGCTGGGATCTCAGCAAGTCTGGAGAGAAGAGAAGCAGAGAGAAGCTGGATCTAGGAGTGATGAGGCTGGGAATCCTGGGGTTTTATAGAGAGTTTGCTGACAGGCAGCACGGTGCTGGTGGGGCGGGGGGTAGGAAGGGCCATGTCCAAGGGCCATGTCCATGTTCACTGATGTCCAAGTACATGATGTTGTTTGCTGCATGACAAGCTGTAATGTCGCTCTGGCCCAGTGGGCCCACTCACAATGATGCCAACCTGCCACGTACTCGGGGGCCATTGTTCACTGCCCATGCCACTGCCCCTCATGTGGAATGTGCATGGTTCCCTCCCCCCATCGCCTGGACGTGAGGGGGAGTTCACCCTTCCACACATCTGGCTCAGTAGAGTTAGTTCACAAATGAACAAAAAGCCATGAACCAGAGAATGGGGAGTGTCAAACAGAGTGGTGTGGAGTGGGCTTCTGGGTCAGAAGGATCTGATGGAGTTTTTAAAATTGAATTTGATGGGGAGGGAATCAGCATCCCTAATGCAGGTGTTTGTCTCCTTTCTCTCCACAACAGAGAATTGAGCAATTTTCATATTCCAGGGTCTAGGCTACTGTTCTGTCTGCATTGGCCATTATCCATGAAACATTCTCCCAGAGAGTCATGTCAAGGAAACAAGCTAACTACTGTGTTAGGTACTCAGATTCCATTGAGATGGGCATTGTACGTAAGAACAGCCATACTGGGTCAAACCAAAGGTCCATCTAGCCCAGTATCCTGTCTTCCAACAGTGACCAACACCAGGTGCCTCAGAGGGAATGAACAGAACAGGTCATCATCAAGTGATCTATCCTCTGTCGCCCATTCCCAGGTTCTGGCAAACAGAGGCTAGGGACACCATCCCTGCCCATCCTGGCTAATAGCTATTGATGGACCTCTCCTCCATGAACTTATCTAGTTATTTTTTGAACCCTGTTAGTCTTGGCCTTCACAACATCCTCAGGCAAAGAGTTCCACAGATGGGCCTGTGTGTTGTGTCGGGAAAAAAAGCTTTTTGTTTTTAAACTTACTGCATAGTCATTTCATTTGGTGACCCCTAGTTCTTGTGTTATGAGAAGGAGTAAATAACACTCCCTTATTTACTTTCTCCACACCAGTCATGATTTTGCAGACCTCTATCATCTCCCCCCTCAGTCGTCTCTTTTCCAAGCTGCAAAGTCCCAGTCTTATTCATCTCTCCTCATACAGAAGCTGTTCCATACCTCTAATCATTTTTGTTGCCTTATTCTGAATCTTTTCCAGTTCCAATGTAGGAAAGCTTATAAATAAAATAAACAGTAAGAGCTTTTGTTTTCTTCTGAGGGCTTGACCCTGGTGAGGGTCTTTGATATTGTTCAGGCCAAAGAGTGACTCCAAAATGAATTCACACATTTTCAGCCGCAATTCTGAGCGTGGGTGTTGCTGCATTGCAGCGAATGCCTGCTGTGACTCCTAATCCATTTCACCTCAGGCTCGCACAAGTTCACATCCCGTTTGCCATGGAATTAGCCCTCAGGCAGCCCCGTGTCTACAACAGGGCAGAAGCGTTTGTTCCCACGTACGTGTTTACAAGGTTGTGTACATGAAGTCCCTGTGCTGTCACCCCATATCTCCGCACTCCTGAGGGGTGTGGGTGGAAATGCCTAGCCCATTTTCTGAAGGCTTTGGAAATAAAAGGGTAGAATGCCACCTTTTATAGATTTCCTAGGCTGTGGGACCAGAAGAAGCAGTAGGATCATCCAGCCTGACCTTCTGCTTAGCACAGGCTCTGCAATTCCACCCAGCGATTTCCCCCATCAAGCCCGCTAACCGCTGGTTGAATGACACCGGGCCCCTTAGCAAGACATCCAATGCTGATTGAAAGACTGAGCGCAGACCTCCTGGATCTGGCACCTCACAAAAGACAGGTGGAGGTGAGGTGGTCAGGAGAGTGCGGTTATGCCTATTGGTTCGGGCAGGCTGTTAATTTTAACGGAATAAGTGGGCTCAGGCAGTCCTTGCAACCGGCACTCACCTGGAAGCAGGGAGATCCAAGCCCCTGCTCCATTGACTCCTGCAAGAACGCTCCAACAGGAGAGTGAGAGAGACCCACCCCGCTAAAGCTACCAGTAGCTCAGAGGTCAGAGCACTCACCTGGGTAGAGGAGACTTGCTCTACCTGCTTTGGAGCAGGAGCTGGAATGCACATCCCAGTGAGTGCCCTCAGCACTGGGCTACTCGCTTTAATGGTCTCCTCTCACTTTCTGTTTTTCATGAGCAAGTTCTGGGTTTCAGCTGCGAGGGCACCTGCTTTAGTCACTGAACGGCAGGAGAGGGTGTGCAGCTGAAAAACCTGAGCAAGAGCAATGCCTCCCTGTGGCCTGTCAGTCAGGGGCCTTGAGGCTCAAGTCAATGAGAGGTAAGGACCTAAGGGCAAGTCTTGACTACAGAATTAAGTCAACTTAAGTCACGTTGACATACAGCCACTGCAGGAATTCAATCGGTTTGACATGTTCACACTAGGTCCTTCTGGCAGCGGTGCCTGTCCTCACCTGGAGCGCTTGCACTGATTTTACTGACCTGGTGGGGCACTGAAAGCAGGAGCCGCACCACCTGGGAACCGTCAACGCAATGTCTACGCTGACACTGCGTCGACCTAACTACATCGACTTAAGTGCTACACCTGTCCCGGAGATGGAGGTGTTGGGTTGGTGTAGGGGGTGACTTCCAGCAGCAGGAGAAACATTGTAGTGTAGATGCTTGGCATTAAGTAGACATAAGCTGCCTTATATTGACCTAATTCTACAGCATAGACCAGGCCTACGTCCTTTGAGGTGTGGGGTTTCCTTTGCATGGCACTCCTGGTTATTTTAGGCAGCTCAGTTTGTTGGCTGCTGAGAATCCCTTCTTTAGGCATCTAACTCACCCACTGCCTTGGATGGGGAGCCTAGTGTGGGGCTGGGGATTCTATGGGGTAGGAGGGGGAGTCCAACACTGAGTGTTGCAATACCTAACTACCTTTGTAGATTTCAAGACCATGGTCATGTGTATTTTATTTGGTTTAGGGTCTTTTACCGTGCCCATCTCCATGGCATCTGAGAGCCTGAGTCACCTCTACTGCTTCTGGCTTCCATATTGTGATGGCTAATCACTTCTTGACTGTAACGGCAGCTCTTATCTGGGGTTTCCATTCTGCAGG